ATTGCTTTTGTCTCCACAGCTGAAACCTGTGCTTTTTTATCTGAAGCAGTTCTGTCAAAGAAAAGAACAACAATGAAATTAAATCAAGCAGCAATCAATACTTTCATTAAAGGATACTATATTACCATCTATACTCAAACGTCAGAGGTATATCATATACGCATTACATTTATTTTACATTATTATCATACAATACCTCTTTTAAACTTCATTTATGAAAGGTCACTTGGCCAGACAAAATAATAAATTCCTCACTGAATTATTAAGCATGTTGTGAGACTTTTTTCCCCCTCTAATGGTATTCAGAAAATTCAGGGTGTTAGCCAGAGAGAGAGACTGGGAGTCTATGAAGCTGCACTGGGGGTGTGAGAATACAAACCTGTGGATTAGCTGCTGTGGCACAGCATGAATCCACCGTGCTCAGCCTTTGCAACTGCCGTGATGAGCCTTGGATGAGGCGTTAGTATCACATCTAATCCATTTTCTCACCTCCACCGTATACCCCCCATAAAGAAACTGCCCCCTATAGTCCAGAAGACCCTTTTCAGGAACAAGCATATTGGCAAAGGTTAGGCAAGCCCAGCTACAGCTGGCTGGAGCCGTCAGGGAAAGCCAGCGGCTGACAGGCACACAGGAGCTGCAGCCATGTCTGCCCCGAGGGCTGCGCACTGGGGCTGCGCACTGGGGCGGCACACTGGGGCTGCGCACTGGAGCTGAGCACTGGGGCTGAGCACTGGGGCTGCGCACTGGGGCTGCACACTGGCACCCACCTGATGGGCACGGCAGCATGAGGACAGAAAAGGATCCTGCCTAAAGTCAGACCCCAACCTCCACCTGATGCTTCCACTTCCAAGAAGGCAAATTTTTCTGAAAAATGAATGGAAGAATCTCTTATTCCCAGGGCTTCTACTGCTATTTCTCAGTTGCTCAGATCCGTTTCACATACTCTTGGGCTAAAGGATCAGGACAGTGTTATGTTTCATATTGAAAATTGTGCAAGCAAGAGTCCATCTGGTACAACCTGACACTTAAAGCGCTGTAAGCTGAGGAGAGACTGCGTTGTCCATTAAAATAAACCTTCACTGTAATGTTCATCCTAATGGGTTTTGGAATGGATGTCAGATCCATCCGTTTCACAAGCCCTTAGTCTGAATGCATGGTTAAGCAGGGGCCCCATTTAAGAAGATCAAGCCTCTGTTGTGGACCCGCTCATGTCCTGCCTGCCACACATGAGTGCTGCCGCTTGCCACTTAAAAGCAGACGGGTGACATTTTGGCCGAACTGTGTGGAGCAGCAGCCACATTCCAGACCTGCACCTCGCTGCTTGTCTTCTGGTATCTCTGCCAAATATCAGCTCTTCCTCCCTTCATAATACCAAGGCCATCAAAGCCACCCCAAAACCAAAACTTAAGCTCAAGTTGTGCCAGCGGCAGAGGGCAGGGTTTGGGGGAACACTGTGGGTCACCACGCTATGTTGTATTTTATGTGTGTAGCGATTTAACTTGAGAGCGGGGCAGGGTATGTTACAATCATTTGAGTCTTCATAGATGAAACTAATTGGGCCCCGCTTTGTAAAATTAAACAGCATGTGTCCCCAGAAAGCAAACCCAACCATAAAAGCAGAAAGTGAATTGTTTGATGTTAAAAGAGAGACAAGTCACCTGCTTTCTTGACAGCGAGTACATCATGCAGGAGAGTCTGTAACCGGTCAATAGCAAGCCAATTTAAAAAAATAAATGACCCCAGTGGTTTTACATTATTGTAAATTAAGCAATATTACATTTCTGCATTCTTATTTTCTCTCCACAAATTGACATCATATTTTTAAAACTTTTTTCATAAACAATCATTACTGACTATTCACTGGTTTTAAACATACTGCCTCAAAAATCTTAAAAATGTACATTAACATATATTCACACAAAGAAAAGAGAATCATCCATCTTCCATAATCACTTATCCTGTAGAAAGTTGCAATGTGAAGAAAAGCAATATCTGTAAAAATCTGATTAGAACTTGTAAAAATGTAGCCACTTTGAGCTGTCAGACTGTCTGTTGAGACAGATGCCACTGTATATTGCAGATCTTTCTTCGAAAAATGCCATTTGTAATTGTGTGTCAATCCATGTCAACCTGAGGCTTACTATACTGAAATTAGCCCAGCTGTCTTCAAAAACGCCCCCAGCATAACGTTTCACGGTGACAGACCCGTTGCTTTCTGTAAGTGTAACATCAGCATGCCTGCGCTCACAATGGCTGCCTTTACACTTTCATTCTTTGTGCGCTTAGCCATCCCAAGGTGGATCCAAGTCCCTGCACATTGTGATCAGATCGGAATTCCTGTGAAATGTGATCAGAACTCGTGTGAAGCGGGGGAGTGGAAAGAATGAATCGGAGGCCCTCCTTAAGACTTCTTTTCTTGTGTGTGACTTAACCCCAATGAGCTGCATGGGTTTATAAAATAGTTTAAAGTTTTGTGTCACCTATTTAAATTGTGACAAAGTTAATCCTATGATTGTCATTAAGCACAGGAACGTTGATCAGATTGCACAGATGAGTCTGAACTTTCCCTTTATAACTGGCTTTATAACTGTCAGAAAGACAAAACAGCATTTTTTACACATATAACCTATATAACATTTTTAGATTTATAGTCTCCTTAGTTAACTAGGGCCAAAAATTAATCTTAACTATATAATCATGAGATAGATGAGAATGGTAATGGCAGGGATGGTGTTGCTGGTACTACTTTGTGTTGTAAATCTGCTAATACCTTTTGAACCCAATGTTAGCCTTTTATTTTCAATGCAGGTTGTCCAAATTGCATTTTATGTAATTGTTGTAAGGTCTCTTGCTCAAGATCATTTGCAAAAAAAAAATGGTTTGGGTCAGGAACTTCTAAAAACAGCACACAAAAACCAGCAAAGTATAATCTCAGAAGTTAAACACCTCTAAATAAATAATGATTACGGAAAGTTATCACAGTGGAGTTCAAGGCAATGTGCAACTCACATTTTGGATTATCAAATGCTCCAAAGTATCTAATAGGGTCTTCCATGATCATCCAGAAAAGCAGCATGTAGAGAAATATGAGTATAAAAAGGAAAACTAAAAATATATTTTTTAAAACAAAGACCTAGTGGAATTATGGTGAAAATCCCGTAAGGCTCTTGAGCGTGATTTAGCAGCCCAAGCAAGCACAGAGTAGTGTTATTCCACATGGCCATCTTAGTGGCCTTTGCGATACTTCTCCATAACCACAACCTCCCACCATAAAACCATCACATCCGGCAGCAACTGGAACAATGTTTGTTTAGCGTCCATGTAAAGAAAGAGATTCTAATACTAATACAGGATAATGACACTCAACAAAGGACTTAATCTTCTAATGGTGTGTCTGTTCTGAAAAATAGCAACATACATATCCTGAACAATCCCGCATAGAATATGGGTGTATGTGAGCATTAACTTATATACCTATTTAGTAAAAAGAACCTATAGTTAGCTGAACAGTTAGATGTGTGAACTTAGATTAAAAAAAAACTGGCATTAAAACAAAATATTAAACATTTTGCTCAAAATTAATTAGTTTTTTTTTAGTTTTTTTTTTAAACAATTTAGGCTAAAAACACATGCTAGGTATTTCCTTTCAAAGAAACACAATCAGAATTTCAAGTGCTGATCTGAATAAACTACTAGGTCCTTCTGGGCGCCAGGCATATGCAAGAGGAACAACAATGATCAATCGAGATGTGCAAATAAACATCATATTACTTGAGAAAACGACCATTAACCTCTTATTTTTACATCTGTTTGCAACAGCTACTTTGTATAAAACACATGTGGAATTCCGAATACCTTTAGCATTTACAAATATCATAGCCACTCCACAACTATCTAAGCAGCATTCATTATTCACTACACATGTATTGTGCATGCATTTAGTAAAATTTGAAATTATGTTGAAAGTTATATGTTATATTGTCTTTTCATTGTAAATATCGCTATGAAAGTATATGTGATACAATGTATCTATCTAACGCTCACCTGCAGTCACAATACATGCCTCTTTATCAAGTAGATATACTTTCTGAAAGCTTCGTGATGGTTTAGTATCACTTTACAGTAATTCAATTTCCCAGTAAATTTTGTGGAAAAAAATGTATAATGTGTATTTCGAAAGATTTAAGAGGATGCATTATGATGTTAAATCACAGGCCAATAAAAAATTATTTAAAAAAACTTCCAAATTCGATTAAACCCTGTACGTTAAATGCATATTATAAGGCAATTTTTCAGCTATTTCAACTTTGCTTTACAAGTAATAAATATACACAATATTTTTTTTCTGTTTGCTGTAGGAATCCGGGATAAGATTAAAAATAAATCTACGTTCCAGGAATAATGAATGACATGAGAAAATGAAATTCGTCTCGCCAATGAATAAACTATAAATAAACTTATAATGATTAATAATATATATATATATATATATATATATATATTTATATTTAAATAATATATATATATATTTACCATATAATAAAAATACGACTACTACCACCACCACTACTACTACTGCTATTATTATTATTATTATTAATAATAATAATAATAATAATAATAATAATATCTAAAGCAAATGTGTTTATTTAAGTAGCATATAAAACAGAAATAACGAATATTATGCCATTCCTCGTTCTATGTAAAACGTGTTTACTTTGTGGATACGAAGATAGAGCAGAATCAGAGATCTGAAATAAGCAAATCACCCCCCGCCCCCAAAAAAAGAAAACGAACCAAAACAAAAAATCTCCAAATATACATTTAAGCATAAGGTGCGAAATGCTTCAGTTCTGGTAATTGCCGACGTAGCCATTAACATAAAATATTTTGCAAGCTTAGCAGAATAAGTACATAAGCACAAAACCCGCGGGTACATCCGTCCCACTTCGAGTTGCCGGTGAATGCATCGGAGATTTAACACTGGCTACACTTACTTCTGGTTTTGCGAGCTCCATAACACCGATTCCAAGGATTTTGCAACTGGTAAGGCATATCTGCAAGTTACTGTCAAAACCCATAGGTAATACTTCCAACAGCACCCAACTCCTGCCATCGCCACTTTTGTCGTAAACAGATAAGACGGAGAAAATCCTGTGATGATGATTGTAACTCCCAATAGGTTTTCGATCCAAATCAACAAAGTCGCGTTAATATTTTGTCTGCGTGCCAGGTTGTGGGTGGCATGGAATTACCAGAGAGAGAAGCAAAATCCGATTATTTTATTGCAAACTTCCTTTCCTTGTATTACAGTCCTTGGTGGAAACCTACTTTCTGGAGGGTGAAATATTGTAAAAACGACCTTTCCTTACGTTTCTTGCACTGCAGCGGCATGTATCAAGCATGCAGAACAATACATTTCTTAAAATGAAGAAATTAAATTTCGCATCTCTTCTTTAAGGAGCCTACACAAAATAGAGGAGAGTGTATGACTTTCAAACAGGTTGCACGCCGCACTCAGTTGCCCGTTTTGAGGTGTTTGGAGTATAAAAATAGTACTTTCTTTTGGGATGGATCACTTTGCGCTTCTGATCCTGTTCTACAGCACTGCTCGTGTATATATTTATTTTAAACTGTTAAGCACACATCCATCGCTCTGCAAAAGAGGAGGCGAAGTTACATATATATAAAAAAACTCCAGTCAATTATTTCACGTATGAAATGCTCCATCAAGGTAATTCTCCACAGTATTCCGCACGATGATTTATCGAATCCATCAACTCCCTCCAGAGACAATGTTTCTCATTCAGGAATCAGAAATTACTTAAACATTAACACATCTTCCTCTTCCTTGTGTCTTAAACATTCCAGTCATGTGCTAAGTCCATGCTGATTTAATCCAAAACACAACAGTATGTTGGCTCTGTTCCCCTTCAAGAGAACAAGAAGGACTGCTTCACATAGTTGATATTGAAAATGTAAAAAGAAGAAACGGGGGGATGTTGTATCAAATGCCAGTTTTCCTGCAGCTCATTCTCATCCTCTCACGTACTTCCCGACTAAAGCTGCACGGCAGAGCATGTGGCAGAATCTGTAAAACTGAGTGGAGACTTGCGCAACTGCTAGGGCGATCCGACTCTCAGGCAAGCAAAGGGCAGCCCCAGCGTGCCGACCAATCACAGCACACCTCCAGGGTCCTCGCGTCATACTGCATTTCTTTGTTGCTCTTCGAGTCGGATGTAGTATTTCCAGCGTTAGTAACCGAGTAATGATACTTTTAAAATTGTTTTTTTACATTTCCTCCAGAGACAAAAATAACTTCCTAAAACGTATGTCTTATATCTCGTTGCAGTTACAATCGAATCACAAACAATCTATTTATAGTGGTTTAATATATAATTTTAGTCTAGACACAGTATAGGCGCTGCGTTATTATTAGTAAGAGATTTTAGAGCATTAATTAAATGCTTACTGCGCACCGTACGACTATTATAAGAGTTATATCGTGTAAGTGTGTCTCCTAAAACTTAATTTACCCGGGTAGGTAAGCTTGTTATCGTAAAGTATATAGGCCTCGTCTATTTTTGTTGTTTTATTTAGTGTTTTTCTTAATTTTCGTCTAATCCGTGTTAATCGTACTAATTGTGTTTCTTTAAGTAGTCAATGTCGCCCTCTATCGGAAGCTTTAGAAGTATTGTGTAAATCAGATTTGGTTAATATTTTATAAGTCGTGCTTTATTATTACTCAAGTTTTTGGGTTGCAGCGCTTTCTTTTAGAAGCCAAAAATGTATGAATGTCAGAACACAGGGAGATATGTACTTATATAGTTTAGTAAATATGTAGAATTTATTTAAGTTTTATTGATCCCAGGGGGAAATTCTTGTGCATATAACAGCAATGTAAAGTGCAGGTAAACAAACATATATTGTGTACATAATTATTATGCAAATGTGTGTTTTGCAGATAAAAAATTGTTTAAGAAGCACAACATTTTAAGTAATACAAATCCATTCATTGCAACAGTAGTAAATGTTATATACAGAAAGACTTAGATTCATATGTTACAAGGGGAAAATATAGTAATTTTTCAAAAACATACAGTACTGTGCAAAAGTCTTAGGCAGTCCAAAGAAATGTTTAAAGCTGTTTATCTGGGTAGCAAATGTATTTTGGCTTAGAAAAAAAAACACAATTTAACATTAGAACACGTGCAAATTAAGAGTAACACAATAAAAACTAGTAATAATTTCTTCTGTTTTCTAAAAAGTTACTGATATCTAGGTGGATGGCTAGATGAACACCGCTTCAGTTCCCAAACCTCTCCTCAGGGGCACCTCAGCCGTTCCATGATTTTGTTAAATTTCACCAACAACTCAGTTAAATAATTAAATAAATTGGTTTAAAAAGTCAGTGACAGATTGACTTGCTGTATGAGGCGTGCTAGTGGCCAAGTCAAAAAATACATGGCTGCACTGGACGGTCACTGCAAATACTGGGGTGATTTTAGCAGAGGTTCTGAAATGGCTAAAATGACACACTTTGACAGGCATAATATCATAGTTTTACACCAACACGAGGATAATCTAAACATCATTTTCTTTGCCTGCCTAAGACTTTTGCACAGTACTGTAGGTGTGCACATTTATTATGCAAGATAAGCTGTTCAGTGATGTGCACTGCTTTCCTTCTCTCTAGATCTCCCTCTTCAGGAAGGCCCACAGGTTTTCTGTTGGGTTCAAATCAGGTGAGCAAGGGGGCCAAGTCATCATTCTGCTGTCTTTGAACCCTTTGCTGACCAGACAATCTCTGGTGCACTTCCATGCATGAGATGAAGCATCGTCTTGCATCAGTATCATGGACTTTTTGAATGATGCTGGCTTCTTCTGGTACCACTGCTTGAGGAAGGTCTCCTCCAGGAACTTGCAGTAGTTTCTGGAGTTCATTTTCAAGCCGTCTTCCACCCGAAATGGTCCAACCAATTCACTGCTGATAATTCCAGCCCATGTCATTATCCCCCCGCCCCCCTTGGTGTGCAATGGCGGTCAGTAACCCAGCCTTGGCCCCTCCCATCAGGGTCACTCTCATCTCATCCGTCCACAAAGCCTTTGAAAAATCCCTCTTCAAATATTTCTTTGCCCATTCTTGATGCTTTCGCTTATGATTTTTATTTAAAGGAGGCTGTTTTTCTGCATTTCTCACCCTGCCAATCATGCAAAGCACTTTGCAGCTTGTGCTTCTGCAGAGTAATGGAAGTTTGCAGTTCTGAAAGATGGTAGCACTTCATGCAAAAGGGTTCCTGTATACTTCCTGTTTGATTCTTCTCAAGTCTAGTAATTTCTTCTCGAAGCGCTTTTTGCATCTCTCTGGTCTCATGCTCAGAAATCTTTTGGAAGTTTGCAGTTCTGAAAGATGGTAACACTTCATGCAAAAGGGTTCCTGCATACTTCCTGTTTGATTCTTCTCAAGTCTAGTAATTTCTTCTCAACGCGCTTTTTGCATCTCTCTGGTCTCATGCTCAGAAATCTTTTGACACTGCGGTGACCACAACTCAACACCTTTGCAGTTTCAATAGTTTTGTAGCCCTCTGAAAGAAAGCCAGTCAACTATTTGTCTCTTTTCATCTTCTGTTAGGTCTCCTTTATGCCTTTTTTCAGTCATTAACCTTGAAACTGCTTTTCCTGCACAGGATCTTAGAAATCCTAACCCAAGAAGCACAGGGAAGAGAAACTGTGCACCTACAGGATGTCAGTTCATCATGTGGCATGCACACACTCTATGGGCAATTTAGACGTGTCGTTTAGGAAATTAGGAAGCACAGGGAACTGAAACTGTGCGCTGTACAGGATGTCAAAAGGAGGGGGGGGTGATGTATATCTTGACATTGCAATACTGCACATAGTATTGCACATGCAATACTCACATAGTGAAAGGAAGCAATGTAACAAAGATTTTAAAATCATTTAAAAATAATAAAGATTTCATCATTTAAAATAAGGCTGTTTCACAACTACACCATAACTAAAAAATAACTTGCATATAATATGAGTTTGTCTTGGTACATGACTACAGTCTTTGTTAGGTATATGTTTCATCCTCGTGTGCTGCATCCTCAGCGAGTTGGCTTCAGTAATGTGTGGATTCATTATAACCGATAACGAATGTGTCCTTATTCATTTTTCTTGCTGGGGAGACGAGGGGGTGTCTGCCGATGCTGGGGGGCACGTCCTCCCTATTTCCAGTGCCCCTGCGTGACATTGCACACTCACTCTGGACAAGACTTAGCTTTTAGAAATAGTGCCTTTTAATATTGAGACACTGAAGTAGCTAATTCCGCCCTTCCATTAGGCGATACTTATATAGATCTGTTCAGTGATCTGACATGTAGCACATGTGCATAGCTTTAAGTATGTGGGTAGTTTGAAGAACATACCCCAGGATTATAATTAGATATCAACAGATAATTGGTTACATTGCATTCCTTATAGCTGTTGCACGTACAGTAAGTGTTGCTCAGTTGCTGAGTCAGTGTGTAATTGGATTCTTTTGGCTGATGCGAGGAATGTGCTTGGTCTTAGAAAATGCAGCTGAGTGCGTTTGACATCTGTAACCATGATCCATTCTTGTAATGCAGAATGATTTGATTACATTAAATGTAGCTACTTTCTCTCCATCTGTTTTCTATGATGATGTGGTGACCTTTGCTACTCTTAGAAGGACAGAAAATCCATACGGCCACCAGTCAAAATGTTCTGAATCATTAAACCAGATCCTTACATGACAATCCCATGCGAAAAATGCTATTGTCATATTAACAGTAATTGTGGTGCATTACCTTATGCAACACTAATGTACATATTCATGGAACTGAATGTGTATACAATGATACAACTAACCTGTGGATCTTATAAAAGAGAGAGTTATAAAATGTAATAATTCTAATTCCTTTCAGACCCTCCATGACCATTAATAGGACAAGCAGTTGCAGAAAATGGATGGATGGATTAATCCTTTAAATATATTTTATATGTATTTAATTACACCGATTAGAGTTGATGGTCACATGAACAAACATATTGTATTTTTGCAATGTATAGTTGTTTTCATCTTCTCAGCTTTGGGCCACAGAACCAATATTATTCCCATATGTAGCTTTTGAAACATTTGATTGCATAAATGAATAATGCAACTAGAAACTTCTACAGTAGTTGTTCCCTAACTTTTCAGCATTCCAGTTCTTTCCCATACTAAACCAAGTGTCATGTTTTTTTCTCAAGAATATGCCATATATTAAAGGATGTTTCTTTTTTTCCAGTTTTTTTCTGAGATTTTAATATTTTGTATATATTATAGAATGTCTAATGTCAAAATAATGACACAACTTCACAAATAATCTATTATTAAAAACTTTGGTGCATCAGAAGTAAGTTCAAACAACATAAAATAGTAACTTGTACCTGGAACATTCTGAAAGCAAAGGACATGATGAAACGCTTGAGAAAACTCATCCACCACTTGAACTGAATGAGTCGCACATCAACATGGCTGATTCATTGAAGTTCTTGGGTACTGTGCAGACATTGAACCTTAAGTGGGATGAGAACATCAAATGCATCATAAAGAAAGCTCAGCATTGAAGGTCGTCCTGCACCAGCTAAAGAAATGTTCCACAGGCAATACTGGTCCACACCTGTCATTCATTCGATTCTGACTGCATCTGGAAATGGCTGGTTTGGTGCAACCTCTGGTCAGGCTGAGGATAAAGGGCAGTGCAGTCTGCCACCTGCCCAGGTCCTGTATCAGTTGGGGGGGGCGGGCAGCAGGAGTTCTTGGTTCTCTTGGTTAACTTAAGCTAGCAGTCATGATTGTCTAACAGGAATGCTCCTTACCTAAACTCCTATTGTATAATAACTTCTACCTTAAACCAGCTAACTGAGAAATCCTGCTGTGTGGAACACCGTCCCAAGAGAAGTATGCAGCAAAGCATTATTATTCATATTTTGAAATCTTTATTATTATTTGTATTGTTATTGTTGTTAATATTTACATTTTATGAGTCTGTGAGCCAACACAAATTCCTAGTACATTTAGATGTACCTGACCAGTAAAGTGAATTCTGATTCTGGTCCTGTCCATGCTGCGTGATACTATTCTCTCACTTTTTGTTTAACAGTGTCTGAGTGTTTGTAGTCTTGATTTCACCGTTTTGAATTTCAATAATAATTCCCTGATATTTCAGTGAAAATGTTATACAATAACACATAGAACAACGCTTGCCATGGCACTTATTTTATTGATTTAGGACATTACCTCAAGGGAAAGATTAAAAATATACGAACAAACTAACAAACAAACATTGATTTATAACAAAGAGGCTCCAGGGGCTCCTCTAGAGATTTTGGGCCAAGTGAAAGCACATCATATTGGGCCCCCGACCCAGGGCAGTCCAATTATCTTCCAAATTTCGTAGGGCTCCCTAGAATCATTCTAACTCTCCCCCCCCCCCTTTTGTGGCACCCTTGAGAGGTGCTAATCCTGAATTTTAATTTGGAGGGCCGCTCTGACACTGCAAGTAATGTTAAAGCATAAAGACTGAAAATATATTTTTATATATCCTTGTGCCACTAACCTGATTTCTGTATTTTTATAACATTCATTATTTTAATTTGCAGACTAGTAAGATTAGATTCATAAATCTGATGAACATTTATTTGCCATTTCTACAAATATGGGTACAAAGAAATTCTTCAGTTTTCACATTTTATTCTCCAGCATGATGTATTTAACTAGGGCAGGGCAGCAACGCATTGCAGGGTACTCACAGCTATGGACAATTTGGCAACTGCAATCCATGTGACTGGAGGAAAGCCCACGATGACATGTGGAGAACATGCAAACTCCACACGCAGCGAGCCATGGTCCCAGAAGCGTGAGGCAACAGTGCTGATCACTGCACCTCCCTTGTATGTTCAGTATATAGTGAAATATATTGGTTTTGTAATTCTTAATGATTCAATAAATATTAATATAATTATTATCCCTTTTATTTTTTATATTCAAAAATAGATCTAAATAATACATTTTTTCCGAAATCACTATTTTTGTTTTGGTTCTCTGAGCATAATCCAGTCCAAACTTTCTTCCTGCTTCCTTCTTCAATAACAATAGCCTGATACACATTTAAAATTTAAGAAAGCTATCTGCTCTGCTCACAAATCTCATGACATTAAGCATTCTTATGTTTCAGTATAAATTTGTGCCTAGTCTAGCTCCTCGGTAAATAAGACCAGTTTAATTATAGAATACCAAGGTCTGTGCAAGGGCTGCTTAAAATGAGAGCATTTGCGGTAACAAACAGTACTCACTGTATATTCTCAGTGTGGTGATAGTACTCACTGTATATTCTTAGTGCAATGATAGACAGTACTTACTGTATATTCTCAGTGCAATGATAGTACTCACTGTAACTTTTCAGCGCAGTGTGGGCACTGTCGTCTCGGTGTAGGCACTGTGGTGTCGGTGTACGGTTGTCGGGGTAGACATTGTCGTGTTGGTGGAGGCGCTGTGGTGTCGGTGTACGGTTGTCGGTGTAGACATTGTCGTGTTGGCAGAGGCGCTGTGGTGTCGGTGTAGACATTGTCGTGTCGGTTGAGGCGCTGTCGTGTCGTTGGACGGTTGTCGGTGTAGACATTGTCGTGTTGGTGGAGGCGCTGTGGTGTCGGTGTAGACATTGTCGTGTCGGTTGGGGCGCTGTCGTGTCGTTGTAGGCGCTGTGGTGTCTTTGTAGGCATTGTCGTGTCAGTGGTTCCCCATGGTCTACAGTGGCAGTGTCCATGTCTTCCCTGCTCCCTGACTTGTACTCATCTATCCCATGCATCTCCCAAGAAACAATTTGGCCTTGGCCTCTGCACTTGCATCCCACTTTCCCTTCACCCACGCCGGCCAACCTGTGACATGTATAAAGAAACCAGATTTTTTTTTATCTGTATGATTACATTATTAGTGCTTAATTTACTCCAAGTTCTTTTAGGGTTAAACAAAGGTAGATTTTTTTTTGGTAGATTAGGATGTCCTCTCTGGCCATGACGTCTTTTTATAGCAGTAGTGTGTATGTGTGTTTAGTCTGAGATAACATTGTCATATGATACTTATGGAAATTTTTATAGTACTGATTTATAGCTGAATATGTGAGTCAACATGAGGTCATGTTTCCAGGCGAGTTAAATACAAAAATAAGAGGAAACTCTTCTGAATTTATCTTCCCCAAACAGAATCGGAATGCAGCTCCACACCCTTCTTCTCGTTTAATCTGCTGTATGCTTCTTTCTCTCGTTTATTCTTCCACATTTTATGTTATTGTGGTATTTTAATAGCAAAAGGGTTTTTTGAAGAAGAAAATTGTCATCTTTCTAAGAACTTAATTGATGTGTCTGCAGTGTTTACTCTCAGTTTTTATAATAATCTGGTGATTTTTTCCTCAGTTTCCCTGTGGTTCATGGTATCACTTGTTAATATATTTTGGGTTAGTGGAGGTTAATTTCCTGACAGTAAGGCTATTCAGCTGAGCTCTTCCTGCTACTCATATACAAGAATGGATCATTGATTTATCTGTTTATACGGGATATATTCCCTATTTGTATAATGATATTTATGCTGTCAAACCCAGTTGTTCATAAAATGATTGGAAATTTCCAATTATTTCTTTAAAAAAGTAGATGAAATGCAAAAGGCCGTTTTGAAATGCTCTCTGCTGGCATGATTGCCATAAGGAAGCGATAAGATTAAACACTGCAATATTTAGACTACCTGGGAACTATTATAATTTTAAAATCCTCAGAAATTCTTTAGTGTGGTTTGTTCCATTTTGCAGCGGGGGGTTATTCATGAGCGGAACAGGTCAATTGACTATAAGAAAACAATGAGTTAAGAAAACAATATAAAGTAGTTTTTCTTTGAAAACTAACCCCNCGCCCACCCCCGGCTCTCGCTGAGGAAACCATCCATGATAATGGGCAGATTTTACACCTCCACCTCAAAGCCCATTACAGTTAATGATAAGGCTGGTTCACTATGAACGGCTTTGTGTGGAGGGAAGGGCATGAATATGAATCCCTAACCCTGTCAGTCTTCTTCCACAGCATGGAATGCCCCCTTCCTAGAACCTTTAATCTCCGCTGTTCCCCTAGATGTCATGGAGAACATTGCATTATTTGGTGTCATTTGCTGTGTCATGCAGGTGCCTAGCAGATATGTTTTGCTCTAAAGACTGAAAAAGGTACAGCTTCACATCCCAGAGTGTTAAATGTGATTGCATTACCTAGTAGGCGGATTCATCTCTGTCATACAAAAGGATGCTCAGGTTCCCAAAATGTGATTTTTTTCTGCAGAAGCATCCGTCATCCAAGAGGGAATGCATATAGGAGGCTTCTGGCCTTGATGGGATACAAACTATTAGTTTCTTGGCTTTAATTACATCCAGCGCAAGAACAACCACATCAAATCAGAGTGAAAGGACATCTGACCAGCTGTAAACAGGAAATCAAGCAGATGCTAGTTAAGAATGAAGTATTTGTGATTGTGTGCAAATTAAGGGGAATGACTTGACTTTCTGTACAATCCATTGTCTATTTTCAGACTCAACACCATATTGATTCAGAAATATGTCAGTTTTGT